CCCTGCTCTGTACGCAGCTCTCGCTGGAAAGAGGCTATTCTGCGTGATGGATGGGATTTGTCGGAGAGCGACGCTCATAGCCTTGCTCAGGCCATGTTATCCGACATATGCGGAGACTTGAAAAGGCACTACAAGGTACGTGCCAGATAAAGTTCAATACACAGAGATGAATCACTTCTCTGACTTTCTCTGACAGGTCTCGGAAGCAGGGATTAGACGCTCAGGCTGCATGTCGACGTTGGTTGTTATCATTCTTATTGAGACGAGTCTGCTTGTCTTTTTGTTTGCACTTCAAAATGTAGAATAGAAATCTGTATAACTCCAGGATACCACAAGTACTTCTATGCGCCTTTCTCAGGTCACGTGCACCGTGTCGCGACGCGTATGGGGCGTCTGTTTACATCTTTGTTTGCTGCTGTATGTGCACTCAGTTCACGGGATGCCATAAACTGACGATTCTTTTCCCTCATCACCATCATCTTCCCATCCCCGTCACCATTTCACCTGTTATGGGCAGTGGACACACAAGGCTTTACGGCACCACCCCATGTCCTGGAGCACAGCAGCCTCGGGCTAGCCGGCCTCCGAGGGTCAAGCTCAGCGCCAAAGCCCTGGAGATTCTGAAGATTGAAAGACGCACTAAGGCAACCTCCTACCAAGTTGATCTTGACGCTGCCTTTGCCAAGATCGATGCCATGAAATATGAACTGGCGACAAAATATAGCAAGAGTCTTCGCAGTGTAGCGTCAGACTTGCACTGCGGACGCGGAAGCCTGACGCGAGGATCTCGTACCAAACTCAACCCTTGGAATGCCTTCATTTGGAAGATCGGCGAGATAAGACGCGAAGAGGGTGATACACAGCGTACGACATCGCGTATTTCTCTTCACTCCACGCAATCTTATCTGTTGTTTCTAGATGCCGAGGGAAAGGAAGTTCTCAAAGGCCTCACCGGCGATGCAGACGCACGTGCAGAGTACCATGCACTCTCAGCCGCCGAGAAAAAGGAGCTTGTAGAAGAATTCAAAGCCCATAAAGTCCGGGAAGCTAAAGGGCACCGTGTTTCGTCGAAATCGCGTGCCAATGATATCGCGTATGTGACGTCTACGTGTGTCAACGAGGTGTGTTGCTCGGCCGGTCACGATGCTGGTCGCTTCTGATCACATGGTCTACAATGTAGCTCGATAATATGCGTGCCCGGACAGGTGCCGAGTCAATCTTGCTTGTTGTTCGCGGTACCACAGACATATCCACAAAGCCGCGCTTTTATGCTACCGAGGGAGTCAACAGTTTCATCAACACTTGTCTCAAGATGGATATCGGAGACATTATGTCAAAGCTGGAAGGTTTCGCGTTGACCGGTCTGCAAGGTATGTAACTTCTCGTCTGTGGACGGCCGCCCAGCATGCTAATGTTTCCAAAATTCAGGGGCCGCACAAAATCACAAAGAACGCGCAAACGCCACTCGAGGTAACGTTCGCGAGTCGATCGTAAAGAAGCTTTGTATGTCTGCTATTCATTTTGTACAAACACATAAACTGATTATCTCAAAGCTGAAGCAACTGGTATTACGAAACCCGTGATGGTTTGGACAAACAAGTATGAATTGAGTTTCAAGTACAAAGTTGCCCTCGACGGATGGCCAGCCCACATACCCTTCGGAAACCTCAGCAGTGTCGTTCGGTCCCTCCCCCACTACGAGGAGCTCTTGCGGCTCTGCGAGAATGATACGATAATGTTCCGCCGACTGAGTGAAGATGAGGTTGAAGAGCTTCGGAAGGAGCGTGACGGGCGCATCAATGCTGGAGAGGATGCTCCACCGGCGCCAAAGAAGGCCAGGGCCGACAAGGGTACGAAGAGGAAGAGGTCTGGCAGATCTGAGGATGATGGTGCAGCAGGGAAGAAGAAAGCCGGGAGGAAGAAGGGCGGAATCAAGAGCTCCGAGCTCGTGAGCGACGAGTCAGAGTCGGAGGATGACGAGAACCAGGAAGGCAACCCTGTCCCTCGCGACTCTCAGTCAGAGGATACCGAACACCAGCAGAGCAGCCCCATTCCTCGCGAGCCTCGTCTTGAAGACAGACCGGCCGGTCCAACAGTCCACGCTCACCTGCAGGCCCCCTCGAACGAGCGCAGAGCGACTTCTGCTGTCGCTATCAACCAGCGCTCTAGCAGCGCGAGCGACGAGAATGTCCCTCCCAGCCCTTCCACCCCATCTGACCCCATACCCATGTCATTCGCATCGGACGCTGTTCCGTCAGACTGTGCAGTGGCCACCACTGTGCTCGGCTCTTCCGCGTCGTTCAACATCCCATCTGGTATCAACACCCCACTTCTCTCGAACGCGAAGATGCTGTCTCTGCCGCCGACGGACCTATTCTACCCGAACACCATTAATAACATGAACAATTCTGACGCCTTGGTCTCGGTGATCCCATCTCCTCTTCCAAGCGCCGACTTGTCGTCGATACCTGCATCCTCCGATGCATTT